ACGCTGCTCGACCAGATTCCTCACTCCACAAATCAAGCAAGGCATAACTACTCACTTTGCATGTATTATACCCTTGGCTATGAGATGACTTGTTGTCACACTCGGAGGGTTCAAAGTGAAGTTAAGTGTTGCCAAGTGTTGAGAGAGTAGTAGTAGAAAGTTTAGAAACAGAAATAGGGGGTTCACTAGCAGCAGTTGAGATACAAATAGCAAACCCTAACTGGGCCGTACTCACTATTGAGTACCCCACTGCAGGCTAGAGAATATAACATTCTGACACACCCCCATAGCCAAAGTGGGGTGTAATCAGCACAACAAGCAATCATAGCAGTAGTTCACAATTTATGAGCAAAGCTAGAGGCAGTCACAGAGGGCAAGTGAGGAGGAGGAGGGCTGGCGAGAGGAGAGAAGATGGGAGGCGACGACTGAAGCTGCAGACACACGGGCAACAGAAGCACTGGTGCGACTCAGTGGCTACCGGGAGCAAGTGCCCCGGAATACAGGAGTAACAGGCTCTGCGGCTGATCAGCAGCGGCAGGAGCAACGGACCCACGGGCGACAGGTGCAGCAGGCTCTCTGAGCTACCGGCGGCCACTAGAACCCCGGAATACAGGCGCTGCGGACGACACGACGGCAACCTCCGCTCGAGCTCCCCAAACAGTCCCACCCCCCTGACACACACCCCCTGCTGCGTCCCTAGCTCCACTCCCCCTTCACCCCCCTAGCACCACTCCTTCGGCTCCCCACACACCCACCCCCCTGAGCGGCAGCTGCAGCAGCGGGAGACGGAGGAGGAGGAGGAGTAGGGGACGGCGCACACAACGGGCACCCCCACAACCGTCACCCTCACACTCTTCACCCCCAAACCCTAAAACGGGTTGCAAGGGGTAGGAGCGCGGGGGACGGCGAGGGGGAAGGCGCGCGACCCCCAGGGCGTCACCAAGGGGCAGCAGGGGGCCGCGCGCGGCTCCCAGGGCGCCACCAAGGGGCAGCAGGGGGGGCCGCGCACGGCTACCCAGGGCGCCGCGACGGACGGGCGGGCGCAGCGCGCGGCTCCCCAGGGTGCCGCGACGGACGAGCGGGGGCAGCGCGCAGCTCCCCAGGGTGCCGCGACGGACGGGCGGGGGCAGCGCGCGGCTCCCCAGGGTGCCGCGACGGACGGGCGGGAGCCGCGCGCAACTCCCCAGGGCGCCGCGACGGACTGACGGGGGGCGCGCGCGGCTCGCCAGGGCGCCGCGACGGACTGACGGGGGGCGCGCGCGGCTCGCCAGGGGGCGCCAGGAAGAGAAAGGGCCGCGCGCCCCCCCGGGCGCGCGCCACACAGGAAAACCGCCGCACTCACTATTGAGTACCCCACTGCAGGCTAGAGAATATAACATTCTGACACGCTGCTCGACCAGATTCCTCACTCCGCAAATCAAGCAAGGCATAACTACTCACTTTGCATCTATTATACCCTTGGCTATGAGATGACTTGTTGTCACACTCGGAGGGTTCAAAGTGAAGTTAAGTGTTGCCAAGTTTGTTTTCGTGGTCCAGGTTTAAACGCTTCCGCATCATTATCAGAGTTAACAATAGAGTTGCACGACCAATTCCTTTCACATAGTACGAATCGAGTTAGCGAAGCACGTCACGATAGCAGTTTCACAACCGTTTTCTTTTACAGCAAAGCGAAGGCCTAGATTCCAGTTAAGCAACTGCTTTATGTTTTCCTTTGTGTGTTTAGGACTTTATATAAATGTGTGCTTGTATTTGCTTCAAGTCAATCAATGCTATTATGCTTTACAAGCTCAGAATTCTACTACTACGTATTGACGAGAGTAGAAACGTAACGTGGTGCTGCCGAAACGCTGCTCGACCAGATTCCTCACTCCACAAATCAAGCAAGGCATAACTACTCACTTTGCATCTATTATACCCTTGGCTATGAGATGACTTGTTGTCACACTCGGGGGGTTCAAAGTGAAGTTAAGTGTTGCCAAGTTTGTTTTCGTGGTCCAGGTTTAAACGCTTCCGCATCGTTATCAGAGTTAACAATAGAGTTGCACGACCAATTCCTTTCACATGGTACGAATCGAGATAGCGAAGCACGTCACGATAACATAAGTATGTCCAATGATCAAATCGAGAGAGACATTGATGAATCAGATCTTAATGTTGGAACTCGTGACATGATCATATGCAATGAGCCACTGTTCCAAAACCTGGAACAACATATCGTGGAAATGGCTCCTGGAGAAGGAGCCAAACCATTACCTATTTTAATGGACAAGTATGCTGAGGAGTTGGCATTTCCAACACTATTTTGCAAAGAGGCTCGTTTGTTCAAAGTTGACATTCCGCTTTGAACTATCGCGATATTGCCAAGTGGGAGATACTACATACAGATGCGAGATTCTCTACGTGTCCTCAAATTTTTTTTTTTTTTCAATTTATTCAAGTTGGAGTTACTACAAATGGTTATCTGATCGGGACTATCGGAGCAAAAGCATCGGGCAGCTGACGGAGCGAGGATTTTGCTGCATGACGGGAATAATGGATGCTTGTACATTTTCTTTGATCGGGACTGCCCGAGCAAAAGCATCGGGCAACGAAGATTTTGTTGTTCGAAGATTTGAACAAGCGCTCTATAAACGCAGGATTTTGACTAGTCGCATGGTTGGATTTTGTTGCAAAAAAGAATTGTACCCCTTAGAGTATATGGCTAGTCCACGTTTTGGTCTTCCTTTGTACTTTTATCTAAACGGATATATTCGAATGTTTTCCTTATATCAGTCTTTGTAAATCCACTCCGACCTGAGGTCAATTCTTCCGCTCCAACACACTCTCTGTGAACCTTCCTGAAGTGATCCTAACCATGATCAACTTTCTGTTCGCAAAAAAAAAAAAAAAAAAAAAAAAAAACAAACAAACAAACAAACAAACAAACTTCTAACCATCTGATTCTTTAGGTGGAAAAAAACGCATGGTCTTATGGTTCAAACAACAAGTTTGTTTGACTAAGAAGACATACCAATCACCCGGACATACCACCGTCCGAAATTGAAGACCCCTTAGGTGGCTTGTGCGAGGTGGGTGCTATAGTCAACCTTGTTTGTATTATACCCCCCTTTAGGGTGTTTTTTATAACTCTCAGAATAACGAGGCAAGAATGAATGAACTAGCAGAAGTTTGGGTACAAATATGAAACCCTAGTTGGGGTTGTACCCCATATTGGCTACCCCACTACAGCCTACAAGCATAATACAGTTTAACACACCCCCATAGGCAAAGTGGGGGAGAACAAAGGGTCACAAGACCAGTCCAGCAAAGCAAAGCAAAGCCCAGGGTGGATCACAACGTCACCACACTCCGAGCACAAGTAAAGGCCACAAGGCCAGTTCACATGCAGTGCTAGATATAGTACAAGACAAGCAACACAGTGATCAAAACCTAGCAAGCAAGCAACAAGATATATATAAAGTACAGTACAAAGAATGTCAAGCAGTGAGCAAGTGAGGAAACGTGGACACAAGGCCTAAAGAAGTACAGTGCCGCTGATGATCACTAGGCGGGAGCGCCTTGGTGAAGATATCAGCAGTGTTGGCCTTCGAGTCCACGTACACAAGCCGAAGCTGACCGCGCTGCTGAAGCTCTCGAGCAAGAAAGTAGCGAAGAGCAATGTGCTTCGTCCTGTGCTCCAGTCTGTGCTCCTGACACAAGGCAAGAGCCGCCTTGTTGTCACCGTACAGAACTGGAGGAGAACTAGGCCGCTCTCCCAAGTCAGTCAGCAGGTAGGTGAGCCAGCGTAACTCCTGTGCAGCCATGGCTGTGGCGTAGATCTCAGCCTCACAACTAGAGCCGAGAACAGAGGAAGAGCGGGTGGACCGCCACGAGACAGAGCCAGAGCCAAGGCTGAAGGTGTAAACCTGTGACGACCGCTGCGTAGCCAGGTCGTCCACCCAAGAAGCGTCCGAGTGGCCAGTGAGGACAACTCTGTCGCGTCCTCCAAGCACCAGCCCCATGCCTGATGTACTGCACAAGTAGCGCAGCACCCTCTTAGCAGCCTCCCAGTGCTCTCGCCTGTGTCTCCCAGGCGCAACGTAACGAGCAAGGATGCTAAGAGGGTACGCGAGGTCAGGTCGCGTGCAGGTCATCAGGTACATGAGGCAGCCCACAAGCTCTGGGTACGGGCCACTCGGCTCTACGGACTCGTCCGGAGGTGGAGCTGAGAGCGAGTGGCTGGTAGCCAGAGGTGTGGCCTGTGGTGAGGAGAACTGGAAGCCGAAGCGCTGAAGGACCTGCTGCACCATGTGTGACTGAGTCAGGGTGATGGTGCGGCGAGCTCTGTCCCGGGTGATCTGCAAGCCAAGGTAGCTACGCAGCTCACCCAGGTCAGTGCAGGTGTGTCTCTTCTGCAGCTCCGACATCACACGAGCGAGTGCCTCAGTGTCAGCAGTAGCAAAGACCAAGTCGTCGACGTACACGAGAATGTAGAACGGCGGCAGCGACGTGTCTGTGCGCAGAAACAGCGACGGGTCAGCAGTAGACGGCGCGAACCCAAGAGCCGCAAGTGTAGTCCTCAGTGTGTCGTGCCACTCGCGTGGTGCCTGGCGGAGACCGTAGACTGGCCGGCGGAGGCTCCACTGGGTACCAGGAGGAAACGACCCAGTAAAGCCAGGTGGGCGGCGCAGCCAGATCTCCTCGTGCAGGCTGCCCTGCAGGAACGCTGTGCTGAAGTCAAGAGAGTGAAGCTCGTAGTCACGCTGAGCAGCAACGTGCAGCAGAACCCGAAGAGTGGTCATCTTCGGGGTGGGGGAGAAGGTCTGGAAGAAGTCGACCCCCTGACGCTGACTGAAGCCTCTAGCAACGTAACGAGCCTTGAAGACAGGCGGAGAACCTGGCGGCCGCTTCACCCTGAAAATCCACATGCCATCGACGATGTTCGCCCCAGGAGGGGGAACCTCGTCGACGTAGGTGCGTGTGGACTTCCAGGATGCCATCTCTGCGTCCATGGCTGTCTACCACTGAGAGGAGTAGGGACCCGAGATCGCCTCTGCGTAAGTGCGCGGAGTGGGGATGTCTAGTGCATCCGGGTCTCCCTCAGGGGCAAGCAACCAGGCCACGAGATGAGGTACAGCAGCCGCGAGAGAGTCAAAGTCCTCCTGCCTGTCCTCAAGGACGTCCGTGCCAATAGCACACTCACCCCCGACGGACGGAGGACAGACAGACGCAGACTCAGACCCAGCAACAAGGCGAGCAGCGTAGTCTAGACGACAGGCAGCAGCAAAGTCAACCAACTCAGCGACCAGAGCAGACGCAGCCGAGGACTCAAAGGTAGGGTCAGTGACAACAGTAGCTAGGAGACGCGTGACAGTAGGGTGCTCAGCACGATACCGGTCAGACTCAGGGTCTGGAACGGCAGGCAAAGAGGACGCAGGAGGAGACGGCAGAGGGACACGCTGAGGAGCAGTAGAGGGACGCAGAGTCATGTAGTGAGTGCCTGGGACAGGAGGAGGACGCTCACGACGGACACGACGACCAGTGCGAGCAGTACGGACAGGCGACGCAGGACGAGACTCAGGCTCACGACGCTCTGTAAGACCTCCTGTGGGACCAGTGTAAGGAGAGGGAGCAGGGAGAGGCGAGGTAGGCGGTAACTGTGACTGCGGCTGGACAGGTGGAGGACACTCTACGGAGGGAGGAGGACAAGGAGGAGGAGTCTGCCCAAGAACCTGCTGAAGGAGCGGTACGAAGTACGGCCGCGGCCGCGCAGCGTCTCCAGAAGCAGAAGAGACTCCAGCGTCCGGGTCCCCAGTACCAGCAGCAGCGCCACCGCTCGGGTCCTCAGCTCCAGCAGCAGCTCCACCAGGTGGGTCCGCAGCACCAGCAGCAGCACCACCCCCAGGGTCCGCAGCACCGCAAGGAAGAGCACCCCCAGAGTCGGCAGCTACAACTCCGCTAGCGCCAGAGTCCCCAGCTCCAGCAGCTCCAGTCGTAGTGCTCCCAGAACAACCAGTCCCGGCAGCTCCAGTACCCCCAGCTCCAGCCGAGCCACGGGGACGGCGAAAACGCCGGACGTACCAGTCACGAAGCTGCTGTGGTGTGAGAGACTGCTCAGCACCCCGAACCGGAGCACCCCCAGACGCAGCAACCCGAGGCTCCGTAGGCTCAGTAGCAGCACCCCCAGGCTCAGTACCCGCAGGCGCAGCACCCCCAGACTCAGCACCCCCAGACTCCGCACACGCCGGCTCAGCACCCCCAGTCGCAGCACCCCCAGACTCAGCACCCCCAGACTCCGCACACGCCGGCTCAGCACCCCCAGTCGCAGCACCCCCAGGCTCAGCACCCCCAGGCGCCGAACTCTCAGGCACAGTACCCTCAGCTCCAGCACCCGTAGTCCCAGCACCCCCAGGCCCAGCACCCGCAGGCTCAGCACTCCCAGCAGCACCACCTGCAGCAGCACCTGAGTCACCTGTGACCTCGACAGGCTCAGCGACGGGAGGAGGGTCTACCTGAGAGACACCTGAAGGAGCAGGACCCTGAGGGGGAAGGGGGTCTACCGGAGGGGGACCAGGAGCAAGGAAAAGCGGCGGGGGAGGGAGGGGGGCAGTACGGTAGGGGAAGAGACGGTAAAAAGGGACCGACTCGTCAAAGGTGACGTCCTGAGAGGCGAAGACCCGGCGCGAGGTGGGGTGGTAAAACTGCCAGCCCGGCGCGTCAGGGACAAAGCCAAGGAAGACACAGGGAAGCGTGCGGGAGGAGAGCTTGTCCGCGGACGTATCGCGGACAAGGGCACGAGCACCCCACACCCGGAAGCGCGACGCATCGCCAACCTCCCCCGTCCAACGCAGTGTGGGCGAGGTCTCCGGCAAGGAGACACGGGGCCAGAGGTTGAGCTGATGCGCGGCATACCGGACAGCAAACGGCCACAGAAAATGGGGAGCCGCCGCATGGACCAAGGAGGTACGAGCGACCTCCATGACCAGGCCAATGCGGCGCTCAGCAACCCCATTCTGCTGTGGGGAGTCTGGAAGCGTGAAGGTCTGCTCGATGCCCTCCGCCTGACAGAAGGTCCTCAAGAGGTCGGAGGAAAACTCACCACCTCTGTCAGAGTGCAGACGCAGGACAGGAAGATCCGTCCGGAAACGGCGGCGGAGCTGGAGACGAACTGTGCGGATCCAAGGGATCAGAACAGCAGGGACCTCACCCTTGGTGCGCAAGGGGAAGACCGTGGTGTAACGCGAGTAGTCGTCGACAACCAGCAAAAAATACCGCTCACCGCCCTGGCCACGAACGCGGGCTGGGCCCCACACGTCCAGGTGGAGGGTCTGCAGAGGAGCCTCTGTCGGGGGGAACGAGGAGGAGTGAGGAGCGGCGCGCTGCCGCCCCTCGACGCAAGGAAGGCAAGGCGGCGCAGGCGAGGCAGGGAGGGGAGGGAGGGACCTGGGAAGACCAGACACAAGGCTGCGACGGTGCATGCCACGGAGGCGTGGCAAGGAGGGGTGACCCAGGCGGTGGTGCCAGAGAAGAGTCTGGTGCGACAGGGAACGACACTCACAGGCGTGGGCCACCAGACCTGACGCGGACACCTGACCGACAGCAGCGACCTGAGGAGACGCAGTGGTCAGTGTGTAGAGACTCGACCCCGGCCGACGAGTAAACGTAGCCAGGTGACGGCCGGTCCTGGAGCACGTGCAGATCGCCACACGCTGTCCTCCAGGGGTAAAGGTGTCAACCCACTGATCCTGGAGGACAGCGTTGCTCACCAGGTTCGTCGAGAACGAGGGGAGGTGGAAACCCGTCAACGAGCCAGACGGAACCGCCGGACAAGGGAGCACAGTAGTGGACTGGGCAAGGACTGGGCCCCCAGAGGGGTCAGCCAAGGAGACTGGGACCGGTGCAGGAAGCGGTGTGAGCTCAGTACTGTCTCGAAAGAAGCAGCGGGAAGCACCTGAGTCAAGGGTGAAGGTGTGACAGGTCTCAGTCGGTGCAGTACCTGAGAGAGCAGTCTCTGTGGGTGCTGTACCTGAGAGAGCAGACTCGCAAGCAGCAGGGACAGTGCAGGAGGGAGCAGGTACAGGGGGCACCATACCAGAGAGAGCAGACTCACTAGTACCTAGGGCAGCGGGCCCTATACCTGGGTCAGGCGGCACACACAAGTAACAGTCTCCCTCGGCACTAACAGTCAATGCATACATGGCAGCAATAATAGCATCATAGTCAAGAGCAAAGATATCAACACCAGCCCTCATCAGCTCAGCCCAGCGAGGGCGCTCAACATCCTCGCCCATCTCCTCACGCCAAGCGTCGTCAAGGCGGAAGAAGCAGCGGTACTGAGTGTGGAACTTTCCACACGTCTGCCCCTTGCGATCACCTGTGCGAATGACATAAGAACAGCGGCCACTGCCCCCCGACGTCCCACGCTGAGCAAGCCACTCACGAAGCTGCTGGGTCGACTGGGGACGCTGCTGCTGCTGGGAGCTCTGGCCCGAGCCGGTGCCTCCACTCCGACCTCCACCGCCGCCACTACCTCCGCTCCGACCGCCACCACCGCCACCGCCACCGCCACTACCGCCACCGCCGCCACTGCCGCCGCTGCCACCACCGCCACTGCTCCCGCCGCCGCCCCCGCCTCCGCCGCCGGCCCCACTCCCACCGGCACTCCCGCCACCGCTCCCTCCAGCACCGCCTCCCCCCCCACCTCCCCCACCCCCTCCCCCCCCAGCGCCACCCCCGCCACCCTTGCCCCCCTTGCCCTTGCCGGTGCGGCGCCTCCCACCAGGAGCAGAAGCAGCGCCAGCAGACTCAGCACCAAGGAAGTCAACAGCAGCAGCAGTAGCATAGGAGGGAGCGAGGGGAGAGGGAGAGCACCCCTCAAAGATGGGGGTGCGAGGAGCGCCGCGAGCAGCACCAACAGCTACAATGCTCTTCTCGGCCGCTAGCAGCTTCTCCTCTAGGAGGGCGACAGTGAGCTCAGTGGGACAGCGAGCAAGGAAATAGTCGCGCACTGAGTAAGTGGAGTGCCCAGTACAGTGGAGGGGGGTTCTTAGCGCAGAACTCGGTGGGAAGGGCGGCACGCAGGCGAGCATCACTAGTGCGAAGGTGGGTGATAAGATCGGCGACTGTAGCAAAGGTGGACAGCTCAGGGAACAGGTACGGCAGCATGAGGCGGCTAAGCTCGGCTGTGGCAGGTGAGGAGTAGCGAGCAACGACAGCGTCGTATAGGGCCTTAGCGGTTTTGCAGTCGCCAAAGTGCTCTAGCTCAGGTAACGGCAGGTGACTGCGAATAGCCAGGCGAGCTGCAGCGTCACGAGTCTGCCACTGTGAACGTACACTAAGCTCGGCTGTGGCAGCAGGAGCAGCGGCAGCACCAGACGCGTAGTCATAGAGGGAGATGTGGTCCGTGCTATTGCTCATAAGATACAACTGCAGGTCGTCGAGCCAGGAAGTAAACTGCAGGGGACAGCCCTCAGCATCGAAGGAAAGAACGCGAATAGAGGCCATAGCTCAGGCGTGAGGGCACAGCAGAGCAGCGGCAGCAGCAGAGGGGACGCGCTAGAGCGAGGCTAGCAGCCACAGCAGGAGCAAGCGGCGGTGCACAGGCAGGAAGTGCGGCGGGCGGGCTGCGAAGCGGGCAGCGGGGCGGGCGGGCGACGCGGCGAGCGGGCAGCGCGGCGGGCGGCTGCGAAGCGGGCAGCGGGCGGGCGGGCGACGCTGCAAGCGGGCAGCGGGCGGGCGGGCGACGCTGCAAGCGGGCAGCGAGGCGGGAGGGCGACGCTACGAGCGGGCAGCAGGCGGGCGGGCGACGCTGCGAGCGGGCAGCGAGCGAGCGGGCGACGCTGCGAAGCGGGCAGCGGGCGGGCGGGCGACGCTGCGAGCGGGCAGCGAGCGAGCGGGCGGGCGATGCTGCGAAGCGGGTAGCGGGCTGGCGGGCGGCGCTGCGAGCGGGCAGCGAAGCGGGCGGGCCGCGAAGCGGGCAGCGAGCGGGCGGGCGGGCTGCGAAGCGGGCAGCGAAGCGAGCGGGCTGCTGCGACGCGGGCAGCGGGGCGAGCGGGCGACGCTGCGAGCAGGCAGCGCGGCGGGCGAGGGGCGAGCGGGCAGCGTGGCGGGCGGGCGACGCTGCGAGCGGGCGGCTCGGCGGGCGGGCGACACTGCAAGGGGCGCGCGAGGGCGCTAGCAAGGGGCGCGCGAGGGCGCTAGCAAGGGGCGCGCGAGGGCGCTAACGAGGGGCGCACGAGGGCGCTAACGAGGGGCGCTAACGAGGGCGCTAACGAGGGGCGCGCGAGGGCGCTAACGAGGGGCGCGCGAGGGCGCTAACGAGGCTAGGGCACGGGGTAGCGTGGTAACCGCATGCGAGCGGTGGTGGGCCCTTAAAAAAAACGGTCGGTAGGTCCTAGGGACCTCCTGCTCTGAATACCATCTCAGAATAACTAGGCAAGAAATGAATGAACTAGCAGAAGTTTGGGTACAAATATGAAACCCTAGTTGGGGTTGTACCCCATATTGGCTACCCCACTACAGCCTACAAGCATAATACAGTTTAACAATAACACCCCCTTTTCTTACAACATTTTTCATCGTAGCTGTTAACGAATACCAGAGAACATTGCGGAAGTCACTTCCTCTTGGAAATTACATGGTAATTTCAAAAGAATCTGCTAAAATGTTATACATGATATTGATAGGCTATAGTGAGTAGGGCTTAGCATTTGTATCTCCCACCTTGCTAGTTGCATCACTCTTAAGATGGTATCACGAGTAGGTGTCAAACATTGTATATGTTGTATTTGAGTAGGCTGTAGTGGGTTAGCCTATAGGGGGGTCACAACATTAGGGTTTCATATTTGTACTCACAATCCTTTCTAGTCCATCATTCCAGTCCGTTATTACTGACATGGTTTCAGAGCAGGTCCGTCGCTAGGACTGTTCTTAGGGCCCACCTACCTACCTACCTACCTACTGTGCGCCTCGTGCGCCTGCGCGCCCTAGAGCGCTCCTTACCTACCTACCACGCGCACGCAGCTCGCTAGCCGCCCGCGCGTGGCTTTCCTTTTTTTTTACCGCGCGCGCGCCGTACTAGCCGCCCGCGCGCGGCCGTTTTCACGCGTGCGCCCCGCCAGCTGCCCGCGCGCGCTTTATTTTCTTCGCGCGCGGCCCGTCGCGCTGCCTCCCCGCTGCCCGCGCGCCTTTGCGCTGCTGCCCGTGCGCCTCGTGGCCTCGCGCACTGCCCGCCCATCGCCTGCTCGCGCACGCCCCGCAGGCCCGCAGCCCGCCGTCGCAGAGGCCGCACGCCCGCTGCTCGCAGCCGCCCGTGCGCCGCTGCCACTGCCGCACGTGCGCATACGCAGCTGCCGCCCGTGCGCTGCTTCCGCTGCTGCTTGCGCACCGCCGCCTCCCGCCGTCGCCGCACGTGCACTTCCGCTGCCCGTGCGCCGCCGCTGCCCGTGCGCCGCCGCTGCCCGTGCGCCGCCGCTGCCCGTGCGCCGCTGCCGCCCGTGAGCCGCTGCTGCTGCCGCCCGTGCGCATCCGCCACTGCTGCCCGAGTGCTGCTGCCGCTGCTACTTGTGCACCGCTCGCAGCCGCTGCCGCCCGTGCGCTTCTGCAGCCGCCGCCCGCGAGGCGCTCGCTCCCACTGTTTTTTCTACCTACCGCGCACACTGCTGCCACTGCAGCTGCCACCAGTGCGCCGTTGCAGCTCCTGCTGCCACGCTCCCTACTACTGCCGCTCGTGTGCCACTACGGACAGTCGACCCCGCCCGTGCCTTACCTAGCGGCCCCGCCGGCCCCGTTGACCCTACGCACACCTTTCCAGCGGCCTGGTTCCTACTCCTACTACTGTCACTATGGCTAGTCCTCCCGTTCTAGCTTTCGATGCCGAGGGCCGTCCGGTGAAGTTCGAAACCTGGCTAGATGACCTGCACCTGTTCCTACAGCTCACTGCCAAGGAAGACATCTCGCTGTACGACCACGCCCTAGGCCATGCTACTGCCCCTGACACGTCTGCTGACAGCACTCTACGCTCTCAGTGGCAGACTCGTGATGCGCACGCTCGCTTTGCTATTCGCAACTCCCTGCCGCTAGACGAGCGCGAGCACTTCGGCCAGTGCAAGACTGCTAAGGACCTCTACACCACTGTAGTTGCCCGTTACTCCTCACCCGCTTCTGCTACGCTAGGCCGCCTCACTCTCCCCTACCTGTTCCCCGACCTAGCCTCCTTTCACACTGTCGCAGACCTCATCACCCACCTTAAGACTAGTGAGGCCCGCTTTCGCGCTGCTATGCCTGCCGAGTTTCTCACTAGCAACCCCCCCCCGCTCTGGATCACTCTCTACCACATCGTCACCCGCCTCCCTGACTCTCTGCGCGCAGTCAGGGACCACTTCCTCTCTCGCTCCCCCACTGAGCTCACTGTTGCCCTCCTCGAGAAGGAACTGCTTGCAGCTGAGGCGAGCATCGTCGCTGTAGGCACCTCTCGTGGCGACCCCCGCACCCCGTTCTTCGAGGGGTGTTCCCCTTCCCCCCTCCTCCCCTCTGTCGCCTCTGCTGCTGCTGTCGACCTCCTTGGTGCTGAGAAGGTCAGGACCGCGTCTGCTTCGAGCGGGCGCCGCAGGAGCAAGGGAGGCAGGGGTGGGGGTGGTGGCGGAGGAGGTGGGGGTGGAGGCGGTGGGAGTGGAGGCGCGACTGGGGAGGCTAGTGGCGGCAGTGGGGGAGGAGACAGCAGCGGCGGGAGCGGTGGCAGGGGCGGAGGCGGCAGCGGAGGTGGAGGTGGTCGTGGCGGCGGCAGGGGTGGAGGTGGCCGAGGCGGTGGTGGTGGCGGTGGTGGTCGTGGAGGCACTGGCGGAGGCCAGAGTCAGCAGCCCGCCCCGACGCTTCAGGCCGCCCGTGAGTGGTATGCGCAGCGTGGCTGTACCTGCACGTACGTCATTCGCACAGGTGACCGCAGCGGCCAGCAGTGTGGGAGGCCGCACCCCACGCAGCGCTGCTTCGCGCGCCTTAACGACGCGTGGCGCACCCAGTTTCCTGATGCCACTGAGCTGCCGCGCTGGGCTGATCTGGAAAAGAGGGGTGTCGATATTTGGGCTCTAGACTTTGATGCTATTCTCACTGCCATGTATGCCATGTCTATTAGTGGAGAGGGTGCTCAGTACTTGCGTGTTCCGCCCGACCCGGGCATTCAGGCCAGTCCGGCTGCCGCTCTAGGTGCTAGTGCGTCTGCTCCCACAGGTCCTGGTGAGGCTGCTGCCCTAGGTGCTAGTGCGTCCGTGCCCCCTGGTACTGAGTCGACTGTAGCACTGCACACCTTCACACTGGACTCAGGTGCCTCTCGCTCTTTCTTTCGTGACCGCACTGTCCTTGAGCCACTCGCTCGGCCAGTTGCTGTCTCCCTTGCTGACCCCTCTGGGGGTCCGGTCATTACGACCTCCTCCACTGTTCTTCCTTGTCCTGCGGTCCCGTCCGGCACGCTTTCAGGTCTCTACCTCCCCTCGTTCTCTACGAACTTGGTGGCGGGTTGTGCGCTCCAGGACTCGGGTGTTCACCAGTTCACCCCTGCCTACGAGCGCGTGACACACTGCACGTGTGCTCGGACGGGTCGCCACCTGGCTACTTTCACTCGAGAGCCGGGGTCGGACCTGTACACACTGACCACTGAGTCCCCTCAGGTAGCTGCGTCTGCGTCTACGTCTGCGTCTGCGTCAGGTCAGCTGTCCGCCCCCTGCTCGTGTCGCTCTCTGGCGCATGAGACTGTCCTTTGGCACCACCGCCTTGGTCACCCGTCTGTGCAGCGCCTTCGGGCCATGCACAAACGGGACCTTGTTGCTGGTCTTCCCAGGGTTCTCCCTCCCCTCCCAGACTCGCCTGCTCCTCCCTGTATTCCCTGTGTCGAGGGGCGGCAGCGCGCCGCTCCTCACTCCTCCTCCTTTCCCCCGACGACTGCTCCTTTGCAGACGCTCCACTTGGACGTGTGGGGCCCAGCCCGCGTCCGTGGACAGGGTCAGGAGAGGTACTTCCTGATTGTTGTTGACGACTTCTCGCGCTACACCACGGTCTTCCCCTTGCGAGCCAAGGGTGAAGTCCCTGATGTCTTGATCCCTTGGATCCGCAGATCTCGTCTCCAGCTCAGTGAGCGTTTCCGCTCCGACTTCCCTGTCCTGCGTCTGCACTCT